AAAAAATCCATAAAATTTTGGTTTACAATTTAATTGAATGAAAAGTATAATTGTTAAATTTGACCACCTAGTATCTTAAAAGTGAAAAATACACCCTATACTATATATAACATTAAAAGTATAACATTATATATATGTATAAGTAAATGTCAGTCTTACTGTTAGTAGGCCTCATTCACGAAGCTGGTCTATAAGGGGTGTTTAAGGAAATTGCCTATAAAATAGCGATTGAATGGGTATCCACTCTTACCCACCGCACTCTTGACTAGTGGAGGGTCGTTAGCCAAACAGGTAGGATAGGACAGAAACCTTACATTATAAGTATAATGAAGTATAAAAGTAACTAAATGCTTTCATAAAATCCCCAATCTTAGTTACTTTAGGCGAAAGTGAATTGATGCAATTCCATGAAATTACACTTTGTGCCCTTGCGAAGATGTTATTGGAGAGTGTGTGGTTAACCGACACACTAAATGGTTCTAAGAAAAGGTAGCAAAGGGTGACTCAGTGTTTGTCATAGTTCGGTGGAGCGTGTGTGGTTTACCGGCACACCGAATAAGTGATTGTAACATGTGGGGCACCATGTAAGTTTGCATGGTTATTCACACCCTCTTTGTGATCCTCGGTATCCCAGTCACAAACTAGATGGGCATATCGAGATTTAAACATGCCATTGAAAATTTCAATGAATCTTAAAGGATCTAGGAGTTTTCATAGATTTAAAAATTAAATTTCTTTTTCGTTTTTCATGGTGGAAATTGGTAAATCATCATTTACCTACCTTCAAATACTCTGCAACTAGATTACGGCATCCCTTTTCTAGGTTGTAGCGTATTTTGGTTGGGTCCTAGACTTAATATCTCATTTGGGTGATTTATTAAGGACTCAATCTATCAACTAACCTGAATTTATTTTTCCTCCCGTTTTGTTGATGTCAAAGTACGACAACTATGGTCTTCCCAAATCCCGTGGAACAAGCTTGCCACATGACGATGATATTCCACGATTCGATCGAGGAACAAGAAATCATGCTACACTTCCTCCTCCTCCTCCCGTTGTTCTCCCTAACCCACAAGCTCGAAGAAATGAAAGGTTCAATGTCAATAAAGCCCTATTGGAAATGTAACATGAAGATGGTAAACCCGTGTGTGCCCACGTTCTAGGAATGAAATCACACATTGATAGGTTGAAAATGTTGGGTGTGTCATTCCCGGATAAGTTCGCTGTGAACTGGGTTCTGCAGTCACTTCCCGAATCATATAATGAGTTCAAAAGAAAGTATTATATGATAGATCATGATGAAAACCTCATTGACCTAACTTACATGCTCATTGCTGCTGAATCAGAAATGGGTTGGCAAAGCAATGGAGCATATTTGTTGGGAAAGTCAACCAACCATGCTTCCGAGGACGTTCTAGGAGAACTAACCTGCGTTTGCTGCCAAGAGAAAGGGCATTGGATACAAGTCTGCCCTAAGAGCCTGAAGAGTCCAGAAGATGGGAGACTCAAAGAGTATGACTTTGCTTCAGGTAAAATCCACTATCTAACTCAATTAAGTTCCTATTCGTTGATTATTAATGTGATAAGATTGCATTTGAAAGTTTTTCAAGATCAATGAAAAGAGAGGAAGCTTGATGAAGAAGCAAGATGAATCTAATCACGAAGAAATGGATCTTGATTGCATGGATTCGAAGATTAGATTTTGAGCTTAGAAAGTTATGATAGAGTCGTTAGGAATTTTTCTTTTGACTACCTAGTTTTCAGTTGATTTTGCATTGTAAGGATAAATTTTTCCGCTGCTTTTATAAATAAAATAAATTTTGTTTGACGTATTTATTTATTTCCTTGGAATGAAATCGTTATGAAAAATTATCATTTGCGTATTTCTACAACGAATGGATGTGATTCTTAATTATGATGATTGTGGAAATGTCGAGAATTTACCAAATAGGGAAAGTTTCTCATCGTCCAAGTTTCAATTGGATAGAGACTTGGAATCATACAACAAGTATTGCATGATAAATGAGAAGTTTCATATTTGGAAATTAGACTAATTCGTTGACAAAGTGTTAAGTGAAGGACTAGGAGATCGAGTACACAAGGTTATGAATTGATCAAGTCCACCACAAGAGTAACAAAGATATTCGTCATGATTTACTAAAGGTTTAGTAAATATGATTATACTTATAAGATTAAGTGTAATTCTGAATTGATTGTAAGAGTTTAAATCAATAACAGAACGAAGAAGAAGAATCAAGTAGGCAGAAAGATACAAGTTTCTCTATTCTAAGAAGAAGGGAGAGTACCTTTTATTATGTTTTATGATAGGGCTTAATGATTAAGAACCATATCTCAATTGATCCTCTAAGTGAGTCTTAGTGCAATTGTATGTCTAAGAAGAGGAATCGAGAATTGAAGAAATGGTTAAATCAAGAAGTCAATCATACTTCGTTACAAAAACAAGTCTTAGAGTTAAGATTGTGACATTGAGTGACAGGTCTTAAGAAGGTTTATAAAATTCACCAAATGTGGAAAGTTGTGATGTCTTGGATAAGACAAAGACCAACTAGGACCAATTTTGTGAAGTTTTTTGTCTTGATAAAAGCTACACTAACTCTTGAATATTTGTTTATCGAGAAATGTTTATTGACAAGAGAATCTTATATTTCAAGGAGTCAGTGGGAGTCTTAATGGTCTTGAAGGATTTCAAGAACAAATCAAAATAAACCTTATCGAACATCATTAGCACACGACTTGAGGTTTACAACCTATCGTGTTGACATTATCTTGTTTCTATGCCGTTCCAATAGAGTTAATTATGCATGTGAACCCTACGAGTTCTCATTTGAATGCATAAAAGGCAAGGACCTTGATCAATGAATGGTACATTGATAAGATAGGCTGAGTTGCTTAACTACATGGAATACATGGTGGGCAACCGTGTTACCACAAGGCAAGAGATCAAGATTGAAAAAGTTCCGTCCATAAGAGTTTGGATTTGTCGTAAACTTTGGTTTTGACAAATTCACATGGATAGGAACACACACATACACCATTAAAATCTAAGTGTCATAAGATTTCTCCTTCATGAAGATGGACGTGAGGAAATGCTTTCACTAAGAAATATTTTAAGAAGATAGTGATTGTAAAATTGTATTCTTGAATTCGATTATGGTTATGGTATCCCTTTCCATGATTCGAATTGTGAGATTTGGCAATTAATCTGAATTGTTTAAGACACACATATGAGCTATTTTGGATAAAGGTGTATGAGATTGAGAAGCGTAGATAAAAGATTATCAAAGCATTAGGTATTAGAAACATGAAATTAAGAAATTCAATAGGTATTGTTTTTCTGAAAGTTATGTTGTTTCTGAATACATATCAAAGCTATTGGGAGCATAAGCGTTATGTTTATAATAATCATCATGATAGTGGGAGCATAAATGTTATGATTCTATGATTATTAAGGCAAGTATTTCAAGTTAGCAATGTTAATTATAGAAAACAAGAGTCATACTTTGCAAAGTTGTAAGGGTTGAATAGTTGTTTTGCTATAATAAAGGGAGAGAATATTATGCTTCATTTCAAATCTGAAGACTTAGGTTGTGGAATGTTAATAAGTTTAGTCAAGGATACATTGTGGGTTCTTACATTTCGATTATGATTACGACATTCCTCTTCATAAAGTTCGAATTATGAGAACGTAGCGCGTAAAATATTATGGCAAAAGATTGAATCTTTTCGTAAGACATTATGCGTCGTGTCCCATACGCTTAGGGTATAGGATTGATTGTAAATGCTATAATATTTGACCATTCTAAATTTTCCAAATGTCCAGGACATTTAGAGGGAAAAGGACAAGAATCGGTTTTGACTAAGACAATTAAACAACTATCAAAGGACAATACAAAGTTCACCGAGGATTGGTCGCTTGTGAGTAGTTGGAAGTATAGTATTGGATGGAGCATATCAAAATTATTATGAATAGATAAGATTCTATTAAGAATGAGTTGTCATATGGAAAATATTGAAACATTTCCATATTGGGAGATAGATATTGAAAATCTATGTCTAGATTAGAAATTTTATGCAAAAGGATGTTCAAAGAAAAGTACTTTGAGTGAGAGACATCACGTTTATGGAATTGTATGGTAACAATCATAGAGAACTTTGTAATTTCATTGGCAATAGTCATTGTGACCTTAATGTAGTGACATTACAAAAGGATAATTGTATCAAATGTTAGAATCTAACATATTCTATAAGTGGCAAGAATTTGCTATTCTTACACTTGTGATATGGATTGGGAGCTGTGAAATGAGTATGATTGGAAATGTGATCATTTGATCTATTTCACAAAGTAAGAACCATAGGAAAACATTATGTGCATGCTGAGAGCATGGGACAAGTGTTGCAATTCAAGGAAGAAGTTGATTATCCGAAACAACAAAATAATGAGTAATCGATATGGTGATAAATAAAATGTGTTTTATTTATACTCAAAGGTTTGAGGCCATATGGGATTAGTATTATTCTTGTGTTTCACTTTGCATGTTTTGACTTCCTGAATAATTTAAGTGGTCAAGAACAGTCAAATTATTCAAACGGGCCACAGTCGTTCATATGTTAGAAGTAGGTACGAATGAAGACTGTCATAAATTGGTGTGTGGATTGTCTAAATAGCATTAGACATAAGCAATTGTTTGCTGCAACGTTCATGAGTGCTTATGAATATGATTTGAGCATTGGATTAAACCGACACTCACTTGGATCACTTCATGGATATTATCACAAGTGATTGGTGAGATGATAACATCTTATATTCTTGAAACCGAGATGTGTGAGTTGTATCTTGCGAGTTGGTTGCACATTGATAATATGTAAACGGATTGGTAACTTGGTGTTATAAAACATATTGTTGTGTGTGATTTGGTGAGTAAGTGAAAAGTGAGCATTGAGTCAAAGTTTATCCGTACCTTTTATCAAAAAGTAGGATAAAAGCAATATATGTGGGCCCCTCAATGATTTAGTGATGGCACCTAAGTGCTTGGCCACGCCGGGACTAAATTGATGAGTTCAATTGTAGTCTGTTGCCAGTCGTCATAAATCTGAATTCGGGAAACAACACATAGACAAAGAGAATGATTTAGATCCATGTCTCAGTCTATACGATAATATCTAGAATGGAGGAATATATGATCCCTTATCTAAAGGACACGCGTATCTGATAAGATCAGAGTTGACAGCGACTTTAGAAAGCTATGATTGCAAATCAGAATCTAAAGTCATACGTGGAATAGTTATTAGACTTATCCAAGTGGGAGACTGTTGGATTAGTATCTAAGTCCATAACTATTTTGGTATGTACTTGACCCGATGGTGCATGGTCCTTTTGGGTTGCCTTCACCAAAGCAACTTGATAGGATGAATTACGGAGAAAAAGGATTAAATATGATTTATTAATATATTATGAGAATAATATATTAAAGGAGAAATCATATTGTTTAATTAATATTAGTCAAGAATTAAGTTTATGGCTAAAAGAGATTAATTAAACTTAAGGGACTTGAACTGTCAATTGCATAATAGTTGAATATTGAGCTAATGGGCTCCATATTAAAGGGGTGGACGAATTCTATGGGGAAACCCATTAGAAATCGTCCTAGGACCTTTAATGAAGGAGTCCATGGGTTGCTTAGGGCTTAAGCATCCAAATTAGGGTTTCCTTGTTTGATAACCCTAATAGCTTCACTATTTAAAAATCCCTAGAGCACCAAAAACGTGGGCAAGTAACTCCTTAGGGTTTTGGATGGTTTTTGGGTGTCTCCTTCTTTTCACTTATTCATCCTCTGGCTCTTGGTGTTTGTAAACCATCAAAGGAGTGACATTTGTGACTCTAAGCTTTGTAAAGTCAATACAAGAAGGATTTTAGATTATTATTGCTACATAACAATCAAGGTAACATCTTAAACCCATTATTATGTTAATATCGATTATCATATGATGGAATTAAGGTATAGTCTTGGATGAATTGCATGTACAATAGAGAAACCTAGATCCAAGCATTAGGGTTTGTATGAGCACATAGGATGTTCTTATGACCAAAATTCCATCAGTGGTATTAGAGACTTGATTGGTTTCTATTGCATTGATGCCTTGTGTGTTTGTTCAAGTTGCAAAAACATTTTTTTAACTCCCTGCCTGATGAACTCGGCGAGCACCACAGTGTACTCGGCTCAACTGGGTGAGTCCAGTGTGGTACTCGGTGAGTTCGAGCGTCAGATGGAGCTATTTTCGGGATTTCTTGCTGTTTTACTCATGGATACTTGCCTTATCTGTTTTAGATCATTAAAATCCGATTTTATACATATTTATGAGTATATCCTTGATTAAACAAAAGATAATTACCAATTGATTAGATAATAACTTCCTTATATGATAAAGTTTGATTATTTGTATTAATTGGGTAACTTACTTTGCAAGAAATTGAAATCAAGGTCAAATATAGATAATGATGAAATTAATTGTTTAATTTATATTATTTATTATTTGATCCTTGTGTTATGAAAAGTTTCAATTTTTTCCCTTTAGGTTTTATAATTTAAATTTGAACTCAAAAGTTTTGGTTTTGAGATTTAACTAGTTAAAACCCTAATGTTTTGAAATGTTTCAAAACTTACCCTCAAGTTTTTTGGAATTTAAAAGTTGATTAAAAGTTTAATTTAGAAATGTAAAATTCTAAAACCCTAGTATTGTTTTGAAAAGTTCAAATCACACCCTTATGGTATTAATAATTAATTAAAGTGTATAATTAAAAGAGGTTTAATAAATCCATAAAATTTTGGTTTACAATTTAATTGAATGAAAATTATAATTGTTAAATTTGACCACCTAGTATCTTAAAAGTGTAAAATACACCCTATACTATATATAACATTAAAAGTCTAACATTATATATATGTATAAGTAAATGTCAGTCTTACTGTTAGTAGGCCTCATTCACGAAGCTAGTCTATAAGGGGTGTTTAAGGAAATTGCCTATAAAATAGCGATTGAATGGGTATCCACTCTTACCCACCGCACTCTTGACTAGTGGAGGGTCGTTAGCCAAACGGGTAGGATAGGACAGAAACCTTCCATTATAAGTATAATGAAGTATAAAAGTAACTAAATGCTTTCATAAAATTCCCAATCTTAGTTATTTTAGGCGAAAGTGAATTGATGCAATTCCATGAAATTACACTTTGTGCCCTTGCGAAGACGTTATTGGAGCGTGTGTGGTTAACCGGCACACTAAATGGTTCTAAGAAAAGGTAGCAAAGGGTGACTCAGTGTTTGTCATAGTTCGGTGGAGCGTGTGTGGTTTACCAGCACACCGAATAGGTGATTGTAACATGTGGGGGCACCATGTAAGTTTGCATGGTTATTCACACCCTCTTTGTGATCCTCGGTATCCCAGTCACAAACTAGATGGGCATATCGAGATTTAAACATGCCATTGAAAAGTTCAATGAATCTTAAAGGATCTAGGAGTTTTCATAGATTTAAAAATTAAATTTCTTTTTCGTTTTTCATGATGGAAATTGGTAAATCATCATTTACCTACCTTCAAATACTCTGCAACTAGATTACGGCATCCCTTTTCTAGGTTGTAGCGTATTGTGTTGGGTCCTAGACTTAATATCTCATTTGGGTGATTTATTAAGGACTCAATCTATCAACTAACCTGAATTTATTTTTCCTCCCGTTTTGTAGATGTCAAAGTACGACAACTATGGTCTTCCCGAATCCCGTGGAACAAGCTTGCCACATGACGATGATATTCCACGATTCGATCGAGGAACAAGAAATCATGCTACACTTCCTCCTCCTCCTCCCGTTGTTCTCCCTAACCCACAAGCTTAAAGAAATGAAAGGTTCAATGTCAATAAAGCCCTATTGGAAATGTAACATGAAGATGGTAAACCCGTGTGTGCCCACATTCTAGGAATGAAATCACACATTGATAGGTTGAAAATGTTGGGTGTGTCATTCCAGGATAAGTTCGCTGTGAACTGGGTTTTGCAGTCACTTCCCAAATCATATAATGAGTTCAAAAGAAAGTATTATATGATGGATCATGATGAAAACCTCATTGACCTAACTTACATGCTCATTGCTGCTGAATCAGAAATGGTTTGGCAAAGCAATGGAGCATATTTGTTGGGAAAGTCAACCAACCATGCTTCCGAGGACGTTCTAGGAGAACTAACCTGCGTTTGCTGCCAAGAGAAAGGGCATTGGATACAAGTCTGCCCTAAGAGCCTGAAGAGTCCAGAAGATGGGAGACTCAAAGAGTATGACTGTGCTTCAGGTAAAATCCACTATCTAACTCAATTAAGTTCCTATTCGTTGATTATTAATGTGATAAGATTGCATTTGAATGTTTTGCAAGATCAATGAAAAGAGAGGAAGCTTGATGAAGAAGCAAGATGAATCTAATCACGAAGAAATGGATCTTGATTGCATGGATTCGAAGATTAGATTTTGAGCTTAGAAAGTTATGATAGAGTCGTTAGGAATTTTTCTTTTGACTACCTAGTTTTCAGTTGGTTTTGCATTGTAAGGATAAATTTTTCCGCTGCTTTTATAAATAAAATAAATTTTGTTTGACGTATTTATTTATTTCCTTGGAATGAAATCGTTATGAAAAATTAGCATTTGCATACACTACTAGAAAAACAGCCTTTTACGACGTGCAATTTATGATACGCAGTGATTTACAATACGCAAAAGTGTGTGATCTAAAAATAATGTCATCTCTGTATAAATTTTAAGGATCTAGGGCGCGCATTCTTGCGAGCCCTTAAATTAGTGTCTAAAAAGAAAACACGGAAGGCGCCTATAATAAAATGTGTATCGTCTGAGGATGTCGCTTTTTTAAATTTTAATAGAAACGCGCGTTCCATCCTTTAATAGTTAGGGTAAAATGAAATCCAAAAAAATTAAAAACCCCACCTTCCTTTTTCTTCCTTTCCCTCTTGACCTAATTATCAACACTCCTTCCTTCCCCCTCCCGACATTGACTGCCGCCTACTTCTTCCCTCACACTTCCTGGTCATCGACGTCGATCAAGGCAGTACGCCACCAGCCAACAACCTTCATTCTCTCCTTCTCCTTTTCTCTGTAAACCCTAATCCACCTCCACCACTACCGAAACCCTTTTGTTTATCCTAAAGGAATAACACAACCAAGCTCGTATCTCAGATCAAGTACTCCGGCGTGGAGTTAAAAATTGAGGGCCCGCTTTAGATTCACATCCTCGCTGACGTGCAAGTATCATTATCTAGGGCTTTTTCAAGGAGTACTCTACCTCAACTCACCTGTGACCTCGGATCATCTCTTTCCACCGACGACCTCGGGCTCACTTCACCTCACCAGAGACTGCAACGATTGCTCAAGTTTACAAGCCCTAGATTAGATTAAGGTAAATCTTGGTTTACAAGCCCTACTCTATCATGACCTCAACACTCCTCAACAACACCACTAATTGTATCTCCGGAAATGTATAGGGCCTTGGTAGGCCCGTTTGATTATGTGCTGATAATGATGTTCACTATTAAAGACGCTTCTAAATGGTGGAGTATATTAAATGTCTCTCCTATTTGGCAAGATTGAATATTCTACCTTCTCACTCTTCTCTGTAGCCTCACTGCGATTGTCGCTATGGTGATTTATCTTTTTGATTTTGTTACAGTTTCCATGATTTGTTGAGTTTCATGTTTTTGTTCCTAGGGTTCGTTTTAGAGCGTTACCTTTTTTCCTACCAGTAAAACTGAGAAGTTAAGTCGCTAAATTCGATTGATTCATAACAGATTCTGATCTCTATATTTACTCTTGTAATAATTGATTAAAATGAGTAGTATGAAGAAGATTACTCATAAATTTCATGATTTTGTGACATCTACAGATGCAATTGATTCAAATTCAGCAAACAGTAGAAGACTATGCTATCAAGAAAAGTATCATCTACAACATGTATTTCTCGCTATTATTTTGTGTAAAATAGAATAATCGAATTCAGCAAACAATACACTTTTTTTTTTATGTATTTACCCTTTTGCAGATTCCTGTGGACAAAGTCAAAACATATTCCTTTCAGCTTTTCATTGAGTAATCAAATTGCATTGGTTAACCATAATCTTCACAACCAATGACATCATTGTCAACCATATTCGGTTCATGAATACTTTTCCTCTACAAATAAAAGATCATCTTCCTCTTTTAGTGACTTTTTCTAGAGAAAATTGTTCTTTTAACTTTGTTACATTTTTATATTTCATGTTCCAAAATTTATCATTTTTTTGATTCAACATGTCAAGTTGTGACTGCAGGGTGAGACAAATAGATAAAATGTTGGGATTCAAGGTCAACAAAGACTCTTACCGCTGTAAATACTGTTAATATAGGGGTCAAATCTATATCACTAAGTGGTCCCTTTTCTTTATCCTCTGCATTTAAAAATTTGATATCTTCATCTTGCAGTGCCAAATTCGTTAACTTTGTGATGATGTTTTTTTTATTGTGTAGATTATTTGATTTCAAAGGTGATCAAGGTTCTTCCACAAGAGATTGAGACACTAAGAAAACCAAAATGGGATGCTGTGTTGGTGAGCCAATATTTTTCTGATCTAAAAGAAGTCAAAAAACATGGGCGAAAAGAGAGAAGGAACAAGGAAGCTCAGGGTGTTCTTGCAACTTCAACTGCTGTTGCTGCAGCTTCTTCCAGGATTTCATCTTTCTGGAAAGATACAATTAAAGAATCCGCTCACTATGAGGTAGTTGACTCTCATTCTGTTAAAAAAATAGTAGAATTAGATGCAGGAAGTAACAACATACTTTCATTGATCTGTTTTCATAATGAAATGAAGTTATATTGATTCTTATTTTGTGTTCAGAATAAGTTGAAGATAAAACCTCTTGGAGGGAGATCTGCAGTTCATTGATTCTTCACCATCAACTTTAGATTACAAAGGGCATTCTAGGGTTTGTGATGTTTTCAGACAGGAGGAAACAGTTTTGAATCCGGTTATTATATGTTCTAGTTGCAAGGTTAGCTTAACCTTCAATAACGGAAATGAATAGTTCTAATCTCTTTTTTTTATCCTCCTAACTGTATTTTAATATTTTATTTGGTAACAGGTTGCAGTTCACATAGATTGTTATCGTAGTCTGAAAGATTCTACAGGTCCATGGTTTTGTGACTTATGTGAAGATTCATTGTCTTCTAGAAACAGGGGGGCGGTCCCATCTTTCAGTTACTCAGAGAAGGCGTCTCATGTAGCGGAATGTTGCTTATGTGGTGGCAATACTGGTGCTTTTAAGAAGTCAACTGATGGTCAATGGGTCCATGCCTTCTGCGTTGAGGTAATATTCTTTGATTGTGATTCTTACTTGTGTTCCTTTTGTATTATATGGTGATTAATAGTTCTTTTTCAATTTTGTATGTGAATCCTAATGCCCCTCCTGACCTTGGTAGTATGCTTAGTTTCTGATACAAAACAAAACATGAATACTTATCACTTGTCAATTGTCATACTCGATTGGAATCAGAATTCGCGATACCATTCCATGGTAAAAATCTTTACCTCAACCCGTGGTTGTCCTGCAAGAAGCTTAGAAACAGCTGTGCTACTGCATGACCAGCTTCATGTCGAGCCACTACTGCTTTCTCAGTGCCTTGTAACTTGGCTGTTTTCCTTTCAATCCCCTATTTATTATCAAAAAGTAAATCATATAATGCATATAAAATCTTTTTAATTTACAAGAAAAAGAATATAATTACAGCAATGGAACTCTCCACTGCTTGGATAAAGTCCATTTTCTCCACCACTAGTTTACTTTGTCTCCCTGCCAACAAAGCCGCTTCATTTACTAAATTAGCAAGGTCTACCCTGCATACCAAACCAAAAAATATATTTCAAAAAAAGAACAAGGGTAGTTTTGGAAATAAAAAAAAGATGATTTTTTTTATTACCCGGTGAAACGGTGGTCATGGAAGCAATTTTAGCAAGGTCAACATTCTCTCCCAAAGGGAGCTCTTTCTTGTAAACATGCACATTCAGAATAGCTTGTCTTCCAACCCAATCCGGTGTTTCTACCTAAAATAACAAAAACTTAAGTTACCATTTTTGTTGTTCTTTTAAAAAAAAATAATACGATGTTTCCTTTGTTTGCAGCCACAAAGTTGGCGCATGTAAAGGTTGGTGAGATTAATACGAGTTTCTTCCATCCCATTTTTTATTTTTTTCTTTTTTCATTAAACTTTATTTTTAATAAATAATCATATCCTATAGTGCAATTATGGTCACTGTCAAAGCACATTTCATCCTACTTGTGGCAAAAGTACTGGATTCTTTATGAATGTGAGAACAAGTGGTGGAAAAATACAACACAAGGCTTACTATGAGACGCACAGGTGGAGAGGACAAAGGTGATATATTATTATTATTATTTACCATAACATTAATCACTATCAACCTTCTTGTTTTTTTGTTTCTAATTTTTTTTCAAATATGATACTAGTTTCTTACAATACTTTATTTGTTGCTTATTCTAGTCCGAGACTCAAAAACATGGAGTTGAAGAATGGAATTCTCTGAATAAAGTCAGGGTAAGTTATATTGTTGTTTATAAAAACATTATTTGAATCCAAAATCATAATTTTTTTTTCTTAAAATTGTCATGCAGGTTGAATTGGAGAGATTACGCCTCATCTGTGAGAGAATTATCAGACGTGAGAAATTGAAGGTAAGCCACACATTTGATTATACATACATACATAGACTAACTGATGGGATTCTGTTGATGATTGTAGCATGAATTGGTGATTTGTTCACATGACATGCTTCGTTGGAACAGAGAGTCAGTATGTTTATCTTCTTCATCTATACCCCCCCCCCCCGGGTGGGGTTTGCACTGGTTGTGTGTCACCAGATGTTAGTTCAGAATCAGCTACAACTTCCTTAAGAGGAGGATACACAAATAGCTACAAATCATGCAGTGAAACCATCATCCAAAGATCTGATGACAGAGCTTGGACACCAAATTCTTTTCTTTACAAGTAACTATCTTTATCTTCTGGGATATGCATCTCACAACCATTTGTTTCTATGACCTCTTATGTTTAGAAAATAGAGAAAAGTGGAGCTGCTTGTTTGGATAAACTCATTATGACATTATGTGTGATTTCCTTCTTCAAAACTCAGTCAATTTTATTGCACCATAACTAACTGTTTCCATCTACCAAATTGTTATCATATCTTGAGAAATATACAATCTTTTATGTAATAGGTAGAAAACTAGATCTCATGCTTATGCCTTTTTGTTGTAAATGACATATTAATTACATGTCTTGTGTGTATTGTAAGTTACATATAATGATGATGAGATTGTTTTATTAATTAACTAGTTGATTGTTCCTAATGCAATTTGATTTTCACTGATTAGGTGCGAAACAAAAGCTGGCAGAATTTATCTTTGAATCGGGTAATATGTGCTGTGCAGATTGTGGAACTCCAGATCCAAAATGGGTGTAAGTCCTAATTTTCAGATGCATGCTTGTAGTTCGACATCAAAAATAAACCCTCTCCTCTTTCTTCATAAACTCCATGTTTGGGTGTCCAGATCTATAAGTTTTGGAGCATTTATATGCATCAAGTGTTCACGGGCACATAGAAGCCTTGGGGTTCATATATCAAAAGTAAGCCCTTGTTTCTTAATTTCTCAACTTTCTCAACTTACAACATCAATTATATACCAAATATTTACAATGAAGTTGACTCCACACTCCACACATAGGTGTTATCAGTGAATCTAGACGAGTTGACACATGAAGCACTCAAACAGTGTCCTTATGCCAAGTATCAGCCATGCATTTCGCAACAGCTGTAAAAAGAAAGACAATGAACACAAACCACCTCCTAAGACTAGCAACTAAATGGTAATTACTAATTTGTTTGTGTTAATTGTTATAATATTATATATATATATATATATATATATATATATATATATATATATATATGTTTGATAATTTGTGTATAGGCAGGTATGATTCCTTCTAGACCTTTAAAACTTCTCAACACTTCTAAGTTTATCTTCTAAATTCCCATTGCATCAACAGAAAGCCTACACCCAACAATCCCATCTATACTTCCATCAGAAACCATAACAGGAAGCTCCCAGACAGGCAAAAGTAGCCTTGAATCACACAAACAAACCCCTTCACGAGCCCCTGAAAACACCGGTTCAACTTCTTGTACAACTAAACCCACCAAGGGCAGCTTCACCAGATCCTCAAAAGCCTCATTAGCTTCATTAACACATAGCAGCAACTTCACCAGATCCAAATCGGTTAAAAAAGTGTTCCAATATTTCCCTTGGTGTGTTGGACTCCAACAATTGAATACAAATCTACTTAGGCCAACTGTTTTGAATAACCCGCACTTAAAGGATTGTGATTGCCACAATGTGTATACACGGGCTTCAATAATAACGCAGGCCAACTGTTTTGAAGATATGGTCAAATTGACTTTAAAATTCAAACTACTCCCACCTTTGTATAAGCATAAATAGTCATTAAACTAGTCTTAATACTTTGATTATTTAAACTATCTTTTGAAATGAACATAAACGTTAATCAATGGGCCATGGATTTTGATTCAATGAAAAAAGATCCCATACATTCCATGGTTCCATGGGCCCATTAATTATCCTAAACAGGGCTTATAAAAAATAAAGACAAAGTTCATTCAATTATTTATAAAAGTACTAAATAGAAGCATTATGTTGTGTGCAGAGAAATAATGCATGTTGTAAGATTCTCACCTTAATTTCAGTGAGGTCATTCCTTTTTCTTTTTGTCTGATTGTGTTTTTTTATTTTATTTTAGTTTTAGTACTTAACTAATCATTTTCTTTTTATTATGTTTCACTTTCTTCTTCATTTTTTTTTATCAGTTTTGGGTCTTGTTTGATATGATGGAATGGAATGAGCATAGTAATGGAATGGATTGTTACATTCCATTATCATGTTTGGCTTGATTGATAAAATGGAATGAGACATTCAAACATGTTTTTTGTTATGTACAGTTAGATAAGTAAATGGATATAAATTGCAGATAAAGAAAAAAATATTATTTTATAAAATTGAACTTTATTCAGCTAAGGCCTTATTGTTTTGTTGTGTTTTGCAGATAATTCATGATTTAGATCATCTAGCCACAGAGGTTTGTAGGAACTACATCGATCGTCTTCTCGGAAACCAATTTTGGGAAAGGATCTTGCTTCTCTTTATCCCCTGTGGCAGAAGATACAAGTAAGTTATTTCATTTTTTGAGTATTAAGATTAATCACAATTCTACAACTTTTTTTGTGTCATCTCAACTCTAACTTAAAAACCCAAAAATCTTTGTATCTTCACCATAAGAAAACCTTTTCCTTGTGTTAGTCGTCAATGGGTCCAATCCCATTATTATGCTCATTCAATTCCATCATATCAACAGAACCAAAACCTATAAAAAAAATGAAGAAGAAAGTGAAACATAATCCTATTGGAATTTGGTTTAGTTTTTATGTTGACACATATATTGAAGCTGCATACAGTCAGGTTAGTTATAATAAAATTTCATTTCAATGAATGGATCTTCATTAGTGTCTTTTCACCAATCTTGTCCCAATGGTAACCATTAAAGCACCTCTACATTAACAGTTGATCTGTTGTGAACCAAGAGTTGTTGTGGAAAGAGAAGTGCTTTTGGAAGACTTATCACTTTGAACTAGAAACTCATCCCTTGCACCACTTTCTGAATGCAACATTCCATACTATAAGTAGAACCCCACTAAGCGTACATCAATACAAGGTCTTTTTTTAACACCTAAACATATTAAATTTCATAATTATTATTTATTACATTAATGCTTTTAATTTGTTCTTTAGTTTTACACCATCAGTTCTCATTGGTCGATTGGTTAATGCCACCAACATCTCCTAGCACTAAGGATATCAGATTATCTTGGAATACACCAAGTTTGTGATATTTACAATACCAATGATAAGGAAGAATTACAATCTGATGTTATGGAAGGAGTCAATCTCTTTGGGAAGTAATGGAGCCAAAAGAAGGTAGTATACTCTAGGTGCAGTTGTTATTATTCTATTGGTGATTTGAAGCATGGATTTGATGCCTCCTGCAAGTGAAGTTACTAGTTGGAATTTGATGTACATGTAGATTAGATGCAAATTTATATATGGTAAGAAATAGAATTGTATGACATTAAATTTATGCAATGGATTCTATTTTTTGTATATGATATTTTATTTTCTATTATGAAATATTAAATACAAATTTAATTTGAGAATAGGTAAACCGATAAAGAATATTTTTTTCTGAACATTTAAATTATGATACGCAAAAATGTGTGTCATCTTCATTTATGACATGGCCTTTCTTGACAGGGGCTTTCTTGATACGCATTGCGTGTCATTAACACGCGCGTCGTAAGGTTACGACACGTGAATGTGTGTCGTCTTACTTTATGACAGGGCCTTCCTTGATACGCATTGTGTGTCGTAAACGCGCGTCGTAATTGCGCGTCGTCTATAGATGATGCACAAAAGCGCGTCGTCTGTCTTTATGACAGGGCCTTCCTTGACGCCATTTGCGCGTCGTCTGA